CTTTCTTGACTTTCTTAGATGGCTGTTTCTTCTTAATGAACTTGGTCATCTCCTGTGGAAGTTCCAGCTCCTCCCCGTCACCAGCGACCTCTGCGATGGGCTCCACACCTCCTAAGTGACAGAGGGAATAAATCAGCCAATTGGTATATAAGTTAAATTTAAATAAGTACTAGTTGCACAAATTTACACTCATAGGGTTTCCGTTCTGGTTCGTGCACCTAGTTTGGAACCGCTCAGACCACTTTGACCAAAAAAGAACCCAAAAATAACACGTCAAAACACCAGAACCTATTGTTTACTATGCAGCGTAAGCCTGTACACCAACAGAGTCTTGCGGTTTGATGCAAATCACCTTTTCGACACGTCACTGCCCTACCTTCCAGCCTTGATTCGTGTCAGCTCTTCAGAAAAAGCAGCATTTATTCCTTGACTACTTCCACTGTCTGTATGAATCGCATCAAATGTCAAACATGTGTTGCATTTTATTCAACTTTTAGACAGATTTCAGGTTAATGAATTACCACATTTCACAGGTGCAAGTTCACTTCAGTAACACTTGTATGCTGTTTTATTAATGTTATTTTTAATAACATTGCACGTTACTCCTGCATTTCCGTTGTAGAGATTCTTACTCGTGCATCAACATAGTTATCTTCTCATTCTGTGCATTCCCACCAACAAAATGATGGACAAATATGTGAAAGTAAAACAACAGCTATATTTTCTATGTAAGTGTGGTGTAATAAATGTTTTAGAGGATGAGAAGTGCAGCACGGTTTAATTGTGTTGAACATGTGGTTTTGCAAGTGTGTGTGTTTGTGTGAGGGTGTGATTGTGTGTGTGAGGGACCAAATCCCTGCTCGAATCCCATGGATCAGTCTGGATTTAGGGAGCTCCTGAGGCCGATGAATTGGACGCCTTGTCTCTCCTGCGTCCCACCTCTCTGTCTCCTCCTCATCCCCCTTTCCTCATTCCTCTCTGTCTCCTCTTCCTCTTTTCATTCTTCTCCCTGTCTGTCTGTTCCTCATCCCCCTCTCCAACCCTTTCCCTCTCTGTGTGTCCTCTTCTTCCCCCATTTCTACTCTACTCTCCATCCACCTCACCTCCTTTACCCCCCCCTGCAATTTCTTCTATCCATCTTTCCCTCTTCCCTCTCCTTTCACACTCCCTTTCTCCTAATTTCCTCTCCTCCCAGGATTGTGTCCAGTTTCATGGTGCTTTCATTGAACATGCACTACACGCATGGCACACTGTGTTGTGTTGTGTGTGTGTGTGTGTGTGTGTTTGTGCGTGTACGAGACACAGGGTGTGTGTGTGTGTGTGTGTGTCTGCCATCATGTCTACCTTAAGGTGTCTGAGAATGTGTGTGTGTGTCTCCATCTCCCCCACTGCGTCTACATCTGTGTGTGTGTGTGTGTGTTTGGTGCGCAGATTACCCTAAGCCCTCTCTAATATTTATCCTGGCCTTTTCTAAAGCCAATCTTGTTCTCTTTGGTGAGAGCACAGCCTGTGGCTTCACTCACACACACACACACACACACACACACACACACACACACACACACACACACACACACACACACACACACACACACACACACACACACACACACACACACACACACACACAGAGTCACTCACAGTTGTTTGAAATGGGATATGCCTCGCTCTTAATTGGGCAGGTGTTTTTCTAAGGCGAGTCGTTTTTTTTAACGCTGTCTTACAATTTCACGGGGAATGTGTGGGTCAGTGTGTGTGTGTGCGCGTGTGTGTTTTAACCTCAGTCTTACATCAACATCAGGTAAGGAAATAGCCCACCTCTGGAGCAACTCACTCTGAAACAAAATCACATCACATACACACACAGACTGTCTCTCACCGCTGACCTCTCACACATTCCTCCCTCTCCGTCTCTCTCCATCTCTCTCTGTAAATAGTAGGTGTAGTACCGCCTGGTCAGAGTCGTGGTGTGTATCTGTGTTTCTCTTGGTCGTGGTCAGGTCTATATTTGTCGCACTGGTTGGGTTATCAGTTTTAGACAACCCTGAGGTTTAGACTCAATTCTCTGGTACCACATCACACTTCAAAAACACTTCAATAGTCAAGAAAAGCAGCAGAATGTAAGATCACGCTGATTATACATAATGTTGTGCTTATAATAAGAAATAGCAGTCACAGCTGATGCATTAAGTGGAACTAGAAGCAGTTGTTGTTGCAATAGTATAGCAAAATGTGCAAGTATGTCTTGTGAAAGAGTAGACATATAATTGTTGTGGGGGTACTAATGAAGTTGTAGAAGCAGTATCACAAATAAGGGAGAAGTTTAAATAGTGGTGATACTAATAAGAGCAGATGCAAGTTGTCAATTTTACTTACGAATCACAAATTTGCCTAAAGGGGCTTTACAATCTGCACAGTATAGGACACCCTCTATCCTTGTACCCTTTCAATCAGATACCTTGCTTTTACTCTGGTATAAAATGTAATATTAAAGCTGTCCGAAAACAGTTATGGACCTTCTAAATTTCCTAAACTGCATGCAAAGAAAAGTCCCAAATCTTCTTCCAACTATAACTATGATAATAGTAGCACTTGTAGAAGTAAGCAGTTGTGTTTGTAATAGTACTAGTAGTAATTCTAGAAATAGTATAAACAGAAATAACAGACATAAGATAAATTAATCAAAATTAAATTTGAATGGATTTCAAATGCTGCAAAGTCATACTAGTTTTCCAGTCCAGTAACAGGGGTGTAAAACGTTCACTTTCTCTTTCCCTCTGAGAATAAAAAGCCATAACATTCAGCAGCACGAGGAGCTGCCCCTGAGCTGGTTAGAGTCACCAGGAGGCCTCAAGTTTCTATGTTTGTACAGAATGGATGTCTGTACTACCTGCTGGATCTGAAGACATTCCTTTAAATTTCAGAGCTAGTCAGCAGGTTCTGGAATAGGTCAGTTTGGAGACAAAAAGGACTATTACTACACTAGAGTTGGAGACAGTTTAGATTCCATTTAGTTTTCAACATTTTAAAGGTAGTTAAGGACAGTCTGAGGCACTTAGGAGATTGGTGCAGTTTTGATGTTGTTTAGATATAGCTGGAGACAGTCTAGGGCAGTTGTGTAACTGTCTGTAGTTTGAGACATTTTGGACATTTGCGGCCCAATTTGTACATAGATGAGGATGGTTTTGGATCAGTCTATGACAATTTCTGTGGCAGTTTGGGACCTTGTGGGACAGTGTGGGACCATTTGGGCTGGTCCATGACAGTTTGGGGGCGCTTCGGGCCAGTTTTGGAACAGTTCCGGACGGCTTGGTTGAGGGGCGAAGCTGCTTCCAATAGACAGCTCTGTCTTGGTCTGCAGCGCGGAGGCACCAGCGCATTCCTGCTTTATTCTGGGCTGCGGTTTGAAGATGGGGGTGACACTGTGCTGCTGTGGTTACAGGCAATTTGGCTGTGGGCTTTACGCTATTTCAATCCCCCCTCAACATACACATCTTTCTAGGCACACATAACACACACACACGTACAGTTCGTTAGGTCGACCAATTTGCGCACACACATGCGCGCTTTTGAAAACACACATCAAAAACCAAGAAGTGTGATTACTTTAAAAACTGTGCATTCTCAGACACCTGATCTTTTAAATCCATCTTAAACAGGCATTTTAGAAGATGACTTGTAGAGAAAAATTAAAAGCAATTCTAGGCTAAAAAAAAACAGCAACCCTCTTACATTTAAGATTTATTGAACGATGAACTTCAGGTAGTGATTGATTCTTTCCAAAATAGAGCTCTGCTGTTTTATATATAGCATTCTGGAGGAGAACTCTTCAATTTGGAAACACCACAGAGACAGAACAAAGACAGCTGGTCAGGATTACACACAAGACATGACCTACACTTACACATACTACATGTATTTTCCTTTGCTCTGTGTCCTCTGAACTTACACATACACACACATAAATACATGTGTGCACACACTCGTGCACACAAACACAGCCCATCTTCTCCCCTCTCTTTAGGTCTAAAATAGATGCAGGCCCCAAACCACAGCTACCAGTGGAACACTGTGAAAATAACTACAACACACACACACACACACATGCACTATAGGGGTGTGTGTAGTCTGTGTGTCCGCTTGCTTTTGGACTGTGAACATAAGTAAAGTCTTTGGACTTCATTAGGAGAGGAGGGGAGAGAGATATGAGAATACATCACATTCAGAAATTGTAGCAGAAGCACGTGACACAACACTGAAAGGGGAAGAATGAGCAACAACCACAAAAGAGAACAACAGAAAAAGAGAAACAACAGACCAGAAACTGATCAAAGGCCCAAAACTATTACACAAAATTAATTGCAGGTTAAAACAGAAGAGAAAACTGAACAGAGACAGATGAAACACAAGAGAAGTGTTGCCAAAAGTGTTGCTCACTGCAGCAAAATCACATATTTAGAGAGATAAAGTGTGTATATGTGTGTGTATACGTGTGTGTATGTGTGTGTGGGTGGGTGGAAGAAGACTTCAATATACAAACCTCCCCAGTTGAGGTCAGTTCAAAGCTATGCTGACAGCACTCTGACTAATGAACCATGTGATAAACACTCCTGATTTCACCAGGTGTGTGTGTGTGTGTGTGTGTGTGTGTGTGTGTGTGTGTGTGTGTGTGTGTGTGTGTGTGTGTGTACACACAGAGTGCAGCTGTTGAAGCCAGTTAGTCTGAATGATGTCATCAGGGAGAGACAGAGGGTCAGGTGATGGAGAGAGAGATAAAACAGGGGGAGAAAAAATGTACATATAACCTGGATTTAATTACCTCTTACCAGTGACACTGATAGTAACAGCTGTAATATGTTAATCAACGTATTATCTAAATGTATTGGTCTACAGTAATAATGCTTCGAATCAATTAATCAATCAATGATCAACTGATGTAACAACACATTTTACATTTCAGGCTCCGTTTCCTTATTATGTGTTTCTTCTGCCTGCAGACATAATGTCCGTCAGCGGCGACCGTGTAAAGGTACGTGTCCACAGGATCAGTCATTTCCAAACTTCCATTCACGCTAGCAGGTGCAAGCGGCGACTGGCACGTTTTATTTTTTTTTTTTTTTTTTTTTTTTTTTTTTTTTTTTATTTGGGGTTTTTTTTTTTTTTTTTTTTTCAAAAAGGGGCCCCCCACAAGAAAAACAGAAAAAAGGGTTTTAAATTAATTTTTGTGGTTCTAAAATGAAGACACATTCACAAACTGAATCGTGTGTTTTGGAATCCCAGAGCAGGAAGTGTTTGTACAATCAGGTGCAGCCAGAAAGAGGTTGTAACTTTTTGTGAATACAAGCATTCAATGCTGGGAAGGGGCGCGACACCTAGCGTCCGAAAACACCCCTGTGGACACGTACCATAAATGTTGTGGTGTCAGTCTTCCTGTCATTTTGGATTGACAAACAGACCAGAATGTATTTTAAAGTGCAATGTTTTGTTGACCCTTCCATCCACTCCGAGACATTGTGGCTTTATAACGTCAATGATTCTATAACCCTCTATGACAGACCTCTTCCTTTGCTCTGGTCATAAATATCGTGGCTGCTTTGTGACTTGAACGTAAACATAACGAGGACAGTCTCTTCTGGAGAGCTTTGTCCGCTGAGCGCACAAGATGTAGAGAAGGGGTTTGCTAACCTGATGTCTAACTCTTCAGCACAATGAAGTGAAGACAAAATGTATCACCATGTGGACTTTTACCTTCTGTTACTACCTTTGTGTAGCCAAACTAATTTCATGTGTAGTGAGCTGCATGTTTCTTACACTGGTCTTACAGGAATTTGAATAGAGGCATTTAAGTAGTTTGCAACTGTGTTTATTTAGATATAATTTAACACAAAAACATGATGCATTAAAGGAGCAAAGAGCTGGTAATATTCAAAAAATCCAAAAGGGCTTATAGAGATCTCATGACAAAAATAATATAATAATAATAATATCAAATAATAAATAATAGTTAACTAATAAACAATACTAAAATTAAAAATAAATAAAAAAATGAGCCTGCTGAAGGTGACGGAATATGAGGTTCTGTAATTTGCCAAAGAGTTATCATTTATTGCGAGGGGAAATATTTTACTACCCACCCCACCCTGTGATATTAATGTTGTCCAAATGGGGCCTAATTCTCAATGGAACCTGCCTGATTAAATAAATGTTCCATAATATAAACAGACTTGAGGTTGAATCTTTCACAAAAAGGAAAATAGGTTTTCTTTTCCTTCCGACTTTAACTTGCTGAATGCTGAACCCATCTGCACGAAGAAAACCTGGTCCTCTCTCTCTCTACTGCTGGATGAAAGACAAAGGTGACGCCACCCTCAACAACAAAGAGCAATAATGTCAGTGTGTATTTAGGAGTGTGTGTGTGTGTGTGTGTGTGTGTGTGTGTGTGTGTGTGTGTGTGTTGTAAGGTTTTTATATGCAGAAAACACACACACACACACACACACACACACACACACACACACACACACACACACACACACACACTCTGTGTACCAATGAAGCGGGGCTTGTTGTGTGGTATCCCAGTGTGTGTGTGTGTGTGTGTGGTTTTGGAGGGAATCGGCTGCCGCCGGTGTTGTTGGAAACATAAACAAGTGTGCATGTTTACGGGTGGGTGAAAAAGAAACATCTGAAACGGCAAACAAACGACTGTTTACTGCGCCGCTGTCCGTGTGTGGTGTGTGTGTCTGTGTGTCTGTGCGTGTGTGAATGTTGGCAGCTGACCAAAGGAGAGAGGGGAGACCGCAGGACAAGGAAACATAAACACAAACACACTTACTCTCTCTCTCTCTCTTACACACACACACACACACACACACACACACACACACACACACACACACACACACACACAACAAACACTTAATTAATTGATTCAGTTCTGTTCCACTGAAGCAGAATTACTGTAATCACTATAATGACTTTTAAACAAGCCTGTAAAGTTTTATGGACGTCTTCTCTCACACACTGACACTCTCTCTCTCTCTCTCTCTCTCTCTCACACACACTGACTCTCTCTCTCTCTCTCTCTCTCTCTCTCTCTCTCTCTCTCTACACACACACACACACACACACACACACACACTTCACACTATTTATTCTTAAAGACAGAAGGTTTATCTGTAAAACTCAAGTAGTATTATTCAATCTCTGATTTGCCCATTGATAGCTTTTTTTTTTTTTTTTTGGAGAAGCAATCAACTAATCAGAGCTCTGTAGGCGGAATTAAGAATGGGCTCGCCAGCCTCCTACATTACAAGCTACGCAGTGAAAAACAGTGATAGAAAAGCATGGAAGAGACTGATGAAGCAGAACAGGTTCTACAAAACTCTTAAATTGGCATATTATTATGTAAGACAAATAAAGTGTCTTATAAATTGTCTTTAAATGTTACTGTGTCAGGGTCATGATATATTAAAGGCTTTTTAAATCACTACCCTCTTGAACTATCAGGATCCACTAACTGAACAGCACCCGAGCAGCACTCCCTGCAGTTTGTAAAGTGTCTTATGTCTTTACAGCTTTCAGGAACTGATAGCACTCACTCACTGCTGATTGGTCAGGGCAGCAGATCAGCACAGGATACTATGAAATACATATTTAATATGCAAAAAATGCATGAAAATTGTTAAATTAAGTTAGAAAAATATCTTTATTTCAAACAATCTTTTTTTACATCTATGTATTAAGTCTTCTTTAAGTACTTCTTAACATATTTATTTTAACACATTTCTGTATGTATATATAAATAAGGAGGCCGATTTTTCATCGGATTGGATTTTTAAACAATTAAATATCAAATTTGGCCTCAAAAATCCAGGAAAAATAATCCAGCATCTGTGCTATGAAACTATGAATGGAACATGCCGGATAATTAAAACCTGCAATTCAACACTTTTCCCTTTCGGTGAAGTTTTGCACATGTGCAGTGTAATAAGTGTAGATGAAACCCAGAGAAAAGGCAAAAGGAGGGAAGGAAGGAGTGAATGAAAGAAGTAGGGAGGGGGGAAAGGAGGAGGAGAGGAGACAGACTGTAATTGATGATCTTGTCAGAAAGACCTCTATAAACTTCAGCCAAGACTAAATGATCCGTAAGGTGTGTGTATCTGTGAGTAGTTGTGTTTGTGTGTGTGAAAGACTGTAAGTGTATGCATAATTTTATGAGTGTGTGTACCTGACAACTGCAACTGTATGTGCCAGTGTGTATGAGTATATCCATGTTTTTAAGAGTTTGTCTGCACTCTTGTGTACGATGTGTGAATATGTGTGTGTGTTATAAGTGTGTACTTGTTTGCAGTATTTTTTGCATAATGTGTGTGTCTGTGGGTGTGTGTACTGATGCATTTAAATACGAGTCTGTGTGTTGGCCGTAAAGTGTACTATGAATAGGCGTCATGTTTTTGCCTGGCGAAGCTTAAAATCTTCACCAGGGGACGGACACACACACACACACACACACACACACACACACACACACACACACACACACACACACACACACACACACACACACACACAGTCTCGTAAATACCCAGACAGTTTTAAATGCAACAGATTTTACTCCACCCCACCTTTTTTTAGCTGTTGTTTCAACTGTGAAAATATAGGACTGTATGATAAAATACATTATAGAAATGAAAAGAGTACTTACTTTACTTTGAGGAGAAGTTAAGATGATTTTAAGACTAATTCTATTCTGTCATTTTAATTCTTTTTTGGAAAGGACACCTTATATTTTGAAGGTGGATCTCTGGTGATGTGTAGTTATTGAATTTCATCCACTCATCAGATTTTGGGTTCATTTGATGTGCAGGAACCAAAAAGTACAAATATGTAGTTAGCCATTGGCTTCCAAAACACACCATACTACCTTTACACATACAACTCATATGTGACAGGTTTTTTTATCTGCTACTATGATGAAGGATTAAGGTTAGGCAACTAAACCCAATTGGTTAAGCCTTATAAAAGGCAGCAGTCATGGTTAAAGGAAACATATGCTAACTGCTGGTAGGAAGCGGGTTGTTTTTTACACCTGACCATCCTCCCCGACCTCCTTTTGCTACACCACAAAAACATCCCAATGCTTCCTCTTTTTCTCATGAGAGATCACAGTCATTATCTGAACGACCACAAGAGGTCGCTTGTCAGGAAATCGCAAATATTTGACCGAATGACAGATGCTCTTGGGTTTTTTTGCTAAGGGAGGGAGGGGAGACTCAGAGGAACTCTTTTAATTATTAGTGTGTATACAGAAAGAAACAAAAGTGAAAAGCCAAACTCTGTGAGCTAAACGGGCTGATGTAATGTGAGCTCATGAAATGAATAATGTGAAACCCTGGCTGTGGGGTACATGAATCCCCTGTGTTAACTACACAGGTCTGGATTTATCCTGTTGAGTAGTTAATCCTGTACCAAATGAACTGATTTTGTTTATGTGAAAGATCTCTGCCTCTGTCACAACAACTCTGTCTCTCAACTTGTACAATTAAAAAAAGAGAACTATTGGACCAACTTAAAACAATTACCTTAATTAGTAACACACAAATGGATGAAAAAGCTACCTGTTTATTCACCCCTCCCTCCGTTACCTCTCCCCTTCCCTGACTTACCAGGAGCGGCCAGGTTCTGGACCTGGATGGGGACCTGCACGTTGGCCTCAGAGGCCAGGGTGAGGCGGCCTCCCTTGCCGATGCGATCGCACAGCAGGGTGATGTGCTTCTTGAGGCGGGCGGTGTCTTTGGGGAGGCCCAGAACGGGGCCACCCGCCTGTGCCAGAGATGTGGCCTGGTCCTTGGGGCTCCGCGATAGGCAGGTCCGCAAGAGGTGGGAGACGGCGGCGTCACAGCTCTCCTCCCAGCCCTGAGGAGACAGGAGGAGGAGGAGTGAGGACACAAGAGACAGTTAAAATGTCCTCATAATAATATTTTATTAGAGATTAGAATTATTAGAAGGAGGGCACAGAGGAAAAAGGGAACATTACGGACGTAGTCTGAAGGAAAAGGACGAAAATGAAGTAGAGGAGGAACAGGAAGAGAAAGGAGTGAAAGAGAGAATGGGGATGAAGAAGAGATAGAGAGGAGACAGAAAAGATTTAATGAACAATCATTGACCTTAAATCTGGATGCTTTAACGACGTTCTTGACATTTACAAAAGAGCAACGAAATAATAAAACATACAGAATTGAAAGGGAGGAACACACACACACACACACACACACACACACACACACACACACACACACACACACAGGGGCACACACACACACACACACACACACACACACACACACACACACACACACACACACACACACACACAGCGGTAGTAAAAGGCAATGAGGAGATGAGAAACATGTCTTTTGTCACTCTCTCTCCCCTTCTGTCGTCTCTGGCTGAGATATCTGGTCTGGACATCTACTTACACCTACCTATCTCACCCCCTAAACCCATAACCAGGCCTCTGAATGGATGACTGTGGATGGGTGAACCACAGGGAGAGGTTATGTGTGTGTGTGTGTGTGTGTGTCGCGTTGGGTGTGGAGGGGGTGAGGGTGTGTTGACAGGTATCCTCCCGCCCTCTGCTTTTCGCTTACACCCACACCCCCTCCTCCCCCTCTGCCTGCCGCCATGCTGATAGGCCCCTAATGAGCCATAATGACAGGTAATCAACCCTGTAATGATGATGACAGAGAGACACAGACAGAGACAGGGAGAGAGAGAGAGAGAGAGAGAGAGAGAGAGAGAGAGAAGTAGTGGGTTGTAGAAGGTCAGGGAGATGAGATGATGATAGAGAGAAAGGCAGATATTAAAGACAGACAAAAAGACGAGTAGAAAGACGAAGGATGAGCACAGATAAGAACGGAGGAAAAAGAAGACAATGGAGGTGGGGGGGTTGCGGGGTTGGGGGGTCTGTAAGGAGAGAAAATGAAAGAGGAGGATGAGGAGGAGAGATGGGGGGTGGGTGACCTATTCTTACCACAATACCTCACCAGGTTATCAAATACTTGGAACAACATAACTGCAGGTTTCTGTGGAAACTTGGCACGCTCACGCACACGCGCATACTGACACATACGTTCCACATGCTGCGGAGGAAAATTAAATGTCTTTAGACCTAAACTGCAGACATTCATCCTCCTGAATGAGAAGAAAGGAAGGAAGGAGGTGGAGCAGAGCTGGTCTGGACCGAGGCCAGAGCGATAAATTAAGACAAAGTTCCCACTAATGCCGAAATTGGAGAAAGTTTGTTTCCCGTACCCAGAAACAAGAGAGGGATTGTATTAGTCACTGATCTTTGAACGCTAAAGCAGTTTGTGTTGGTGAACATGTGCCACCTTTTAAAGAGTGAAGACCTTCTTCCAGCGAATGTTCAGCATTGATTCACTTTTTACTGTTCTCCGCTCTTTCAAGAGAAATCTTGATAGTGAAGTTTGTTTGAAGGAAGTTTTACCACCTGTTCAAAAGTTTTTGTTTTTGAATATTGACCACTGATTAAAAATGGCCTGTGTCTCCATCAGCTCCTGAGAAAAAATGTCTGGCTTAGCTAAATGATCCAATATGTTCGCACCAAATCAAAGTACTACATGTTCAAAGTTGTGTTGAACTGTTCCACCTTTGTTGTGTATTGATAGTGGTTCACTCCCCCTTCAGGGAAATCCCATTTCCATGAAACCCAAGCGGACTTCGGTGAGATCGACCCTCCCAGGAACGATGCTGAACAATGATGTAAACTCACTCATTTTAGACAGCATACATTGTGTGGTTGTGAGAACCAGATTAAGTTGATATTATATATATCTTAATTTTACATTGTCGTTTCGTTTCACAAAAGTTGAAAAGTTATTTGAACAGTTTATATTTATTAATGCTGAAGATTGAACTCACCTAACGATTACATATTTCAGACAGTGAGAGCTGGGCATCATCACACTCAGTTAGATTGTTAAAGTCAAGATTAAATGAAAAATGCCTTTTTAACCCTTTTAGATCCCATCCCAGGTCCTACTGAACACCTGACAGTGTAGGGTTCAATTCATTCAATCCTTTCCTTTTCTCCCTGTAATGCAAAATGTTATGTGCGCTTTCATAAGCATGAACCGACCAATTTCAACCACTATTACTGTGACATCCACCCATCCAGCTTTTAGCAACACAACAGAGTTTAGATTCATTAGTTAGGTAGCTAGCAACAGCATGGCTTTCTGCTGGAGGGGACTGTTTCTTCGGGGCCTCACTGATTACAATACAAACATTTAGAACTTCTACAAAAACACAACACTCACTTGGGTGAAACTGCATCATATTTTAGATGGAGATAATATTTTCTAGTGTCTCCTCTCATGTCCTCCGACTGCTGTGCCTCAACTCCACTGACTGCTTCCGTAGCTGGTGCTACGTAACAGTGCTCAGCAGCCTCCCAGTGAACTGAATACAGCCTCCGAGACAGACAGGGGTTAGTTTGATCTACCTGAGTAGCTTCATTGTTTCATGACGGCGAACATGGATAAAGGATTTTGTTTCACCTATTAAGTCTTAAAAGTCTCTTGTCTGTAAACGGTCTACAAACTGCATCAGGAATATTAGGTTCGACATTGGGGAAATCCCAGGTGTGATTGCAACATTACTGGATGGCCGTGGATAAAATGTTCCCGGGCCCAGCACACAACCTTGGAGGACTCCCAAAGAGACGGGTAAAGGTTCAGACAGCAATCCCTCAGTTCTGACATCCTCATCATGACTGGGAAAGTCATTTGAGAAGCCAGGGTTACGGCTCTGTGAGAACAATGTTGTACAGTCAGTCTCCAGGGGGGGAAAAAAAATCATCCACACAATCACTTCCCTTGACCAAATCAGTGTATCCTTTTTCTGAAAAAAAATATCCGAAAAGCTGGATTTGGCCCAGGTCAGCATGCAACAGTTACACTTTCTTTCACTTTCCAACTTCTGGGTGTAATCAACCTTAAATATGTCCAATTACTGTAAATGCCTGCCTACTGACAATCACAAGCCCTAATATGGTATAAAGTGATTTGAGTGGAGAGCGACAGCATGAAGGGAAATTTTAAGTGCAGTGGGGTGGGTTTAATTTAAAACACGAACAAATATAATAACCTCATCATTCCATATTATTAACATTTAGAAGATCTAGTTCAGCTTGTGCAGTAAGTTACCAATTGTCTGAAGGAATATTAATGTTCAAATAGTATTTTCTTACATACTTAAATTCTTAAATTTGTTCAAAATGAAGCCAGAAAGACAGAAAGTGACACTGGATGTTGTATTATGAGATGAAAATTCTTTCTGTTCATTATTAATGTGTGGAGTGTTATATTCTCTATATTTTGAGGGATGGAGGTATATGGGAATGAAGAAGGATGGCAACATGGACAGAGACATATGGTAAAGAAACCCTATCAGCAGACAAAAAGTTCCAATATAAACATTTATAAAAATCTTGTTTTCCACAATTTCCACAATATTTGTAGATGGCAACTACGGTAATAGGACATTTATGTCAAATACATTATGGTTAAGGTATGGTTAGGGTTAGGCTTTGAAAACACTTGTCTTAGCAGGTGTTCAGACAGAAATCTGGGCTGTGTTGGTGAATCAGGAAGTCCAATTTAGTAAGGAACAGATCAATGCATTTACAGGTTTTACAGACACCAAAACACAGAAGAATGGTTTCTAACCCTCAGACACTTTGCCATGATGCTTGTGAGGTTAACAGTAGAAATACAGTGTTCATGTTACAAAATAATCCATCAGGAATGTGCACTTGCACGTATTTGATTGGCTACCGCAGCACCTCACTGCCCTCTGCTTTGGAACCCCTGCTGAGCTGCTGGACTGGCCCCATTCAAATGAATGAGGGGGCGTTTTTTTCACACAGTCTAAAGTCAGTTTCAACGTGGCCTTGGGGGCAGAATGGGCCAATAGGGACATTATTCCTTGGGATACTGGGCTGGGTTGAGAGGAAGTTCTTGTAAAGTTCTTTGGTTTGGGTACCAGTCATATGGAACCAAACTGATTCAAAAATCCATCTGATATGTTTCATATAAAAAGGACACCTGGTGAAATACAATAATGACCCTATGTGGCTCTGAAAGAAATCCTTCAATTCTGCTGATTGGAAACATTTCATACACTCTTCAATGGGTCTTTATATCACCATAAAGCTCAGGGAACCATCTGACTCGGTGCTGCAAAGAACTTTTTTCTAAAAAATGCACTTTACAGCGTTGTAAATAGTTCTGCGGTGGTACAAGCCTAAAAAAAACATTTTCAGGTACTATATAGAAATCTTTGGTTAGGAGTGCCAGTGCGAGACAGGCTGTATGATGGATTCTGGTAAAGTAAACAGAGGGCGGGAGAATGCGGGGGTCATGCTAGAATAGCAGGCAGACAGACAGCGTCAGCAACTCTGTTCAAAAGCTGACTGACAGATGGAAAAAGAGACAAAAGAGGGAGGGAGAGGGCAAAAAAGAGGAGGCAGGAAAGGAGAAGATCAAGGGGAAGAGAAAGAGATATGGAGAGGTAAAAATAAGAGTCAGAAAGCAGGATGTCAGAGAAAAAAAGAGAGCAAAGGAAAGGAAATAGGAAGAGAAAGAAAAGGAGACGGGGAAAGTGAAAGCATACAGCAAGAGGTAGGAGGACAAAGAGGGAAGGATGGACAGTTAACAGAGAAAGGAGATGGAGAGAAGCAAAGATGAGGGAGATGGAGAGAAGCAGAAAAAAACGATGCAGGACGAGAAGTGAGGAGGACGAGGAAGACAGAGCAGAAACAGACACGAAAGTTGATGAAGAAGAGCGGGTAGGAGGAGGGAAGACGAAAACAAAGAGAAATGAAGAGGATGGTGAGCGAGTGAGAGAATGAGGAGGACAAAAAAAGAGAGACGCAGGAGGAATGCAAGAACAGGAGGAGGAGGAGGAGGAGGTGTTCTGGTTGGCTGCAACTAAATGAGACGTTTAGTTAGATACCACACAGATGCATTTCCTCTGGCGCTCCTTCTCCTCTTCCCTCAATCCACCTCTTTTAGCACAGATGGGGAGAATTTCTACTCCCCTCTCTCCTCTCTGACCTTCTTATTCTAAACATATCTGTCCATTTGGTTCAGATAAAGAATTCGGAGCCTATACAGCTGCTGTTTGAGGAATTCCTCCTGTTTAAATCATGTCTCTGGGAAGGAAGAAAAACCTCACCTTGCTTCCTGGTTGGCTGTCGCACATTTTTGACATTTTTGAGGTTCTTTGCACTTTGTACCTCAGCTGGATAATCACTTAATCTAGGCTAATGTGACAGATGACATATAGGTCCAAGGTCATTTGGTATTCTGTTACGTATTTCTATATTTCATGCAGCAGAGATGAGAGATGCAGAGAAAGGGGAGAATAAAAATGGGGGTTATTATTGCATCTTATTACTGGTCCTGACTCACAAGATTACCTACTTGTAACCCAAATAACTAGGGAAAAGAGAGACCCTCTTACATTAGTCAGCCCATTATTAGATTTACATTTGCAGTTTGACTGCTCCACTCCACACAGCGTCCTCTAACTGTCCTGCAGATGAGAGAAGCTCTAATCTAAACCACCTATAACCACTTTTTGGACTCTGATCGCTTGAGACTGTTTGAGATGTATGAAGCCTGACGGGAAGCTCTAAGGACATGATTCAAGGCTAAAAAAAATAACTTGCTGCCCGCTCCATTTATCTCATATTTTGATTTACTGGTGACAATGTGTAATTTTATTTTTCTAATGAGAAAATTGTACATTTAATGCTAAAAAGGAAAATGACATTGTTTCTGAGACAAAAATTGATTTTTGCTGACTAAAATTCTATTGTACTGTTAAGTATTTTATATGCTATTGATGTCATTTTAGGCTTAGTGAATAAAAAAAAAAACATGTGACCAGTTTCATGTCAAAAACCCACTGAGGGTGCCTTATAGACCATTAAACCCTGTACTGAGAACAATGACAATGTTTATATATGTATTATATTATTATAATATTATATTAATATTCTAAATCAAACTTGATTAATCTTATTGAAAAAACATAGATTGAACAAATAGATGATGGCTGACTTGTATGAATTTCATAAATGAATTGACCAATTAAGTGACAGATAAAGCGTAGGACGAATGTTAGAATAAAAACAAAGTATGTGGACTTTGGATGAAGCTTCAAACTAAGTCCTTGACTTTTTTTCCATCTCCTCCTCCTCCTCCTCCTCCTCAACCCCTTTAACCCTTTGCTCTCCTCCTTTAATCCAGCTTCTCGGCCCTCCTCTGTGGCTTCATTCTTGTCCATGACATTCCTGAGATTTATTCCACTGAAAGGACGGAATAGCATTCACCTGGAATGACCTCACCTGCATGGTCACAGGAAAGGTCAAAGGGTGAGATGAAGGGTGTGAATGGGGGCAGACACCATAGTGAAAATGCTCCACTTAAGTTAATATTATGCCTTAATAACTGATATAGTAAAAAACATCAGGAGCACCAATCACAGCTTTTTTACTTTAGTTTTCTTTGCTTGGGAAAACCACAGACAGTATAAAATATGGACGTAGTTTCTGTGACGTCACCCAGAGGTTTCTGAAGAGCCGTCGTGAAGCTCACTGGGCAAAGGGGTGAAGCGTGGGTGGGGCTGAGGTAGTTTGAATACAATGCTATAAAAAAAAAAAAATGGTACAACGGCAAAAGCTCCAAGTCATAATTAACCAGAATGATCCCATAATGAAAAAAAGTTAAAGGAAAAGTAAAACTGTGCCGATAAGTTAAAAAAAAAAAAATACAACCTGCGTCACCATCTCTCCCAGCACGCAGTCATGGCACTGTGTTGGAGAGTGTGTTGTGTTTTCTGAAAATAGCTCCTCAGTGCACCTGTTTTTTTTTAATGTTGTGGACATGACCCTGATTACTGCTAATTCACTTAATGCCATTAATCCCATTTAAAATAACACACGCACGCACGCACACACACTTAGCTACACAGTCCCCCGAGGCTCATCAACTGACCCTCTAAACCTATTCCTGTCTACAATCACTGTGTGTGTGAGTACACTGTAAAAGATATTGTATGTACTGTTTATGAACACACAGATGTTTGTGTGTAACGCTGGTCCGTCAGAGGAGGCTGGAAATAGACTTAGTGGTAATGAGAGGTTGAGGGGATTGATCAGAGCTATGGAAAAACACGCACACACACACACACACACACACACACACACACACACACAAACAAACAAACACACACACACACACAAGCACACACAAGTACAGTACACACTCTCAGAGTCTCTGTGGGGTGAGAAATCTTTCGTGGTCGGACTGCAGCGAATGGAGAAGCTCTGTCAACACGGCTGTTTGTACGGAGCCGAGTCCCATGTGGCACACACACACACAACACAAAAACACACACAAAACACACACAAATACACACACAGCTCCAAGTCTGAGTCAGAGGCTGATTAAAGAGCAATATGTCATCCTTTCACGCTGAGACCTATTGTGACCTTGACCTATCGTGTGTATTTGTGTGTGAATTGTCTGTTCAAAAACACACACACACACACACACACACACACACACACACACACACACACACACACACACACACACACACACACCTTAAATCATAAACAGGTACCACAGAACATACTCTTAGCGCAGAGCTGACAGGTGAGTGTTGAGTGGCAAAGAGTGAGTGTGTGATTGACAACGTGTATGTGTGTGAGTTTATGTGCGAGTGTATCCCACAGGGACCAGTAGTACTTAATGTATTTTAAAAGTTTTCAGAGTGTGTGTTTAACCCACGGCGGTGTTTACTGAGCAGGCTGCAGATGGATGGACGGACACCGACATGTTAATGGTCTCCTCTGTGTGTGTGTGTGTGTGTGTGTGTGTGTGTGTGTGTGTGTGTGTGTGTGTGTGTGCGCGTACCAGCTGCGGAGTGTCCTGTAGCAGCGGCAGCAGCGTGGCCTCCAGGATGGCTGTCTGGTCGGGGGTCAGGCCCTGCCACAGCGACAGCAGCAGCACCAGCAGGTGTGTGGCGCTCCGCAGGCGGACAAACGCCTCCTCCAGCAGTGCACGGTTCTCCTCCGCAGCCTCCGCCAGCGCCATCACCTGGAGGAGGGAGGAGTCATTGAATATCTGTAGTGAGGTGCTAACAACATGGTACAGAGGGTTTCACATCTTTCTGATTACACTGAGTTGTGCTATAAAATAAAAATAAATCACAGCTTAACATGAATAATCATGTACTTGTAAATGAACATACTATGGACAATGAGATATCGATTATGACACTGTAAGCTTCTGTATTTTTTTATTAGTTTTTGTGGGGAATCTGCTGAATTGCTTTATGGCACAGGACAGATGGAGGACACTGTTCTTCCTGAACAGACTGAGGTAAAACCTTTACAGTTTCTTATGAAAACAGATGGTGAAAGGATTGGGTCATCAATGGAAAAATTACTTCCGACATTTATTCGGGGAAAGGTATCCGAACAGGGCTGATGGGAAATGTAGTCTTCATTTGGAGAAACACTAGTGCTGTATAAAAACTTAAACCATGTCTGTATTTTTCTCATATTATCTCATATCAAACAATTTAAGCCAGGCATTACAAACAATTGTAACAATTGAATATTAATACGTAAAAATGCAATATGTTTAAATCTGAGTTACAAAATGTACATTAGCATCCCCAGTGAATTTATGAAAAAGACACTGGTAAGCAGAAATGCATACTGCTAACCATGGATACTGAGATGAATTGGGCTGAAGAGAAAATCTCCACTCAAGCTTTCGACAGTTTCACACAGCTTTCCTCAGAAGTTCTGAAGAAGGTCTGCTCCGTTGCATGTAGACATTATAAATTCCCGTTATTCTGGGCACTTTTAGTACTTTTCATCCATGTTAGCCTTAATGTTGAACTTGACAGGTCATTTTTGACCTCAGTAACAAAGGTTTCCACTCAAGATGGAGAATAATATCTGAATAATGCTTATTCTTACTCACTTGTTCTTGAGTGAAGAATTACAGAATGTCAGGGCCAATTTTGTTCTACGAGACACTAAGTAACAAGATGACCCAAGTGTCTTCAGCAGTAAGCCTCAAACTTTAGAAACTTGAAGCTGCGGCAAAGTTTAATGTGTTGGGTCGACCATCCTTGAAAGTGAAGAGTGAGAATTCTAAAAAACTATTCACTGATTAATTACTCCAATAAATGCTGCACATGTTCTCTCATTTCAGAAGACATATATCACTAAAATATTACAAATACATTCCTGTATTGGAAATGGAGTGCAGTATCTAATGAATCATGAATCATCCTTAGGTTCTCTGAGGGTCTGGGCCGTTGGATTGGGAGCAGTTTCTCCACAACACACCCATTTATCCCAGAAGACTCAGAGTGTCGACTGCACAACCTGTGTAAACAGTTTTATGAGCATCAAGTCCACAGCTGCTTCGTTACTGCCCCAGTGCAGTGTGTCAGGTGGCTGATTTACTCTCATTTACATTAGCTTGAATTCACCCTGAAGAACTTCATCAAAGCACGTCGTTTTTAAAAGGTGTGGTCACCGGAGACCAAAATCCAACATTGCACCTTCACAATGTTATTTTTTTTGGAATTAAAAGTTAAATTAATGTGTGTGGAAAGGGTATGAGGGTCAGTACGAGTGAGAATGGGTTACTAATGGGAATGCAAGGTCAAACGAAAGATGTATCCCAATTAAAATTATTATTTTTAATTTGTTTTGTTTTCAGGTGGATTTTTTTCTTCAACAAGATAATTAAATTTGATCACATCATATCATTTTTATCATTACTTTATCATTATCATCAGTATATATTAACTTTGTACTCACCAACAGATAATTAGAACAGTTTAGCCAGACCATGTAAAATATGTAAGGTGAGCACTTTCTCTCTTCCAAAGTAGTTTGGCTAACCCGTGTTGTTTCGTGGTATTTCTTAAAAGCCTGTCGCACTGACTGCTTGTGTTTCTTGACTCACAATTAACTTACGTGAGTATAGATTTATTACTGATAGAAATGATGGTCAAAACTATGGAAAAATAAGAGCCAAGTTGCATTAAAAGATATTTATCCTTTAAAGGATTGGAAATCCTTTGGAAATCGCCATTGGAAATCCCTCTTTTGTTGCAGCAGTCAGCTTGGATTCACAGCAGTTACAGTGAAATCCAATCAATAGAGTGAGGGCATGTGTTAAAACGTATGGAAACATCCAGAGAATACTGCAGCATGATTAACTTCTCAGCTGTTGACCTGTATGCTCAGTGTGCTCTGAAAAGTTACTGCTTTGCCAATAAATCAGTCGATATTCTACTGCGAGCAGAGGTTTGGAGCTCTGAGCAGGCGAAACACAAAGGTTGTGTATTTAGCTCTCCTGTGGGGAAACTCTGCAACAAACTTAACACACAGGTCAGTAAGTAAATAAATTATGAGAAAAGGGTGGACTGAGAAGTTTCTATATCCTGTAGGCATTGCTATTGGAATCCACTGTATCGTCTGTAAATCCTGACTAGAGCTGCCGAGGGAGCAAGCTACAAACTTTTCCAAGCCACTTTTCAAGACTAAAAGTTTTGATACTCATACATCTTTGCTAAGTATTGCTGAAACTATTTCTTTTTCTTTCCACCAACACTTAATTAAACAATGAGCTTCAGTCTTTAGGGTTGCAGCAGTATACTGAAACCAGGTATTACCGTGGTATGAAAATTGACGGTTATACTGTGTACCTGCTTATCTGCAGTATTGAATTGAATTAAAAAATACAGGACATAATAAAAAAGCTTTTGTTCAACCCCAAAAAAACAACTTTCTGTTTTCATTCATTCCTTTAAGGGTCATTGCAACTGATGATAACTTTTATACTGTGAAACTGTGATATCTTCTGTACGACCCTACTAGACGTTGTTATGATTGGGTTTCCAAGGAGGAAGAAGTGAATCTATGTCCCTTTGGTTTGAGGATTGTTTCCTGTAGTTTTAGGATTAAATTCTCCCTCAGACCAAACTGCACAACCACTCTCTTGATAGAGCGCTGGCAATCCCATTTCCAAACTGTTAGTTTGAAGCTGTTTAATTTAAGATTTTCTTCTTTCTCAACTGGACAAATAAACTAAACTAAACGGGTGAAACACAGGAGTGTTCAAATAAACTGCTTACTGGCTCTGAAAGTGTCCACGAGCTCTGATGACTTGCCTTTACACTTGGCTTCCACTTAGAAACTGCAGCATTTTCATGCTTCTAATATGCTATGTTTTTCCAAAAAGTTCAGGAACACGGAGAGGTGCAAACAGAAACCGAATGCTCGCTTTGAAATGAAAACGATGGAAAGCTGCACAAGTGGAGTTTAAGTTTGACTAAAGTACACAGCTCAACTCTGTCTAACAGAAAGTGAGTGAATGCATGAATGAGGTGTGGTGGGACCAGGTGAACTCTGACCTCCAGCCAGGGGTCAATCCCTCCATCATTACAACAACAGAGGAGTCGAGATGAGTGGAGCGGTGCGAACAAGTGATGACAGAGCAAGACGGATGGTGACGAGGACAACAAGAAAGGACAAGCCGGACGAAGAGAAGGAGGGGAAACGGGAGATGAGAGAGGAGGAGGAGAAGGAGGAGAGAGATGAACGGACAGAGAGAAAAAGAAGAGGTGAAAGCAGATCTGGGACTAATGGACGAGTGTGTGTTCAGATAAATGAGTGATCTGCAGGCCTGAGCGCCAACGTACGCCAGCAGTTTGTTTGACAAATGGATTCGGCGCTCGCCATTTGATACTGCGAAAACAGAGATGGAAGACTCTAAAGTGAAGTGTGTGTGTGTGAGTGTGTGTGTGTGTGTGTGTGTGTGTGTGTGTGTGTGTCAGGGTTAAGCAGCGATTGCCAAAGTAAGCCGTTTTGATTTGTGTAACACTAAACTACAAACATATAGGTACATGAGAATGAGTGCCTCCTCTAAGACTTGCACGCTAAGTTGTAAACAGTCAGGGCTAAAACCCCAGTTCACTTCCCCTGTTTCCGTGGTAACCCCAAAAAGTCCCCAACTCTCAGTCATGGCTGAGGTCATCTGTGGGTGCCGTGTCACTCACACCTTGCAAGTAAGCCACACACACACGCAGAGTCTTGCAAACACACACTCACCAATCAATGAACACATAATCCTTTGGGGCTTTTTTGTCATATTTTTGGGGCTTTCGTTGCCTTTAGTCAATAGTGACAGCTGTAGAGTGACAGGAAAGTGGGGAGAGAGAATGGATGACATGAGGCCACATGTCGGAGTCAAGCCCATGGCCTCTGCAGCAAGGATTCAGCCTCGGTACAGGGGGCGCCAGCTCTATTGGGTGAGCTACCAGGGTGCCCCAAATAGAGGCTTTTTTGACTCTATAGGTCTATACTTGTGAGGACTCTCATAGCCTCCCAACCCTACCATAATCTAAACCAATGATTAATTCTTATTTCATGCCTATAATCGAGTCTTCACCCTCAAACAGCCTTGTAAAGGAGTGGGGACCAAACAGGGATGCTTATCGGACCCCACTCATTTCTATTGTACTGACCAAACTGTCAGATCATTCATCATATTATTAGCTTGAACACTTATTCCTGATTGATACTCTTTTTTGAGGTGAGGTTGGATTCAAACCCATGGCCACTGCAGCAAGGACCCGCCTTGGTACAGGGGGCGCCAACTCTACCAGGTGAGCTATTATGATGCCGTATTATATGATGTTTTTAGATGAAATGATGTTGTTTCAGGTAATATCAGCGCTATTCCCCTAAAACGGTCCTCACAAAGATAGAAATACTACCTGAAACAGGCACATAAAACACAGAGCTCCTAGCACATGTATTCCTGATATCCTCATGCACAATTTCTACCATGCAATACACACATACCAACTTCCTCCACCTCAAGACCCACACACACATACACACACACACGACCCCAACCACCCTCCCCCCGGGGTCTCTCAAAGTGTGTGTGTGTGTGTGTATGTGTGTATTGATAAAAGGCTCCAGGACCAGTGAAGGGCTCCATTGTTGGCAGCGGCTCGGCTCCACACACACTCTGATTGATGCCAGCTGAGAGAACAC